AAATTGGAATGGGAAGTCCCTCCTCAAGAAGGAAGTGGACATGAAAATAGATTCAGATGCGTATCTGACGGGTTTGGGAGCAACTAGTCCAAACCAGAGGACCGGAGGTCCGTGGTCCCAGGCAGAAAGCAGAATGCACATAAACTGCCTGGAACTGCTAGCCGCAACACTAGCAGTCAAGACATTCCTGAAAAACAAATCCAGGATGTCATTATATACTCCTCAGGTTGGACAATACCACGGCAGTGGCATACATCGACAAACAGGGAGGAACATGGCAAAAAGCCTATGGATGTGGTGCCTGGAAAGGAATATCCACATCATCTACCGGGTGTCCAGAACGTAATAGCCGATGCAGAGTCTCGGACTATGATAGATTGGTCAGACTAGCAACTGAATCCTGTGATATTCAACAGGATCACATACCTTTTCGGTCCCATAGAGATGGATTTGTTCGCATCTCATCTGACGGCGCAGAGCCCAGGCTTTTTTAGCTGGCGGCCGGATCCCTATGTAGTGGCAACAAATGTCTTCCTACAGGAGTGGTCTCAAATCAAGGGGTATGCCAACCCACCTTGGAGTCTGATGGGGCGGGTACTGTCCAAAGTACTAATGGACAAGGCTCGCATTTCTTTGGTGGCACCAGTCTGGAAGACACAACCATGGTACCCCCTACTATTGCAAATGCTAATTGCAATACCACGTCTGATCAATCACGATCAGATAATGCTGAAGAGATATCCAGGGGATCTCGTCCCTCAGCTAGCCGCATGGTATATCTCAGGGAGAGATACCGAGACCAAGACTCATGCTCAGGTCCTGTAGGACGAAGACCAACAAGTCTTACGACTCACTGTTTGGCAAGTGGCATGGCCAGTGTTGTTCAAGGGGTTCGTTTCAGGCCCTATAAAGGAAGTTGTAAACTTCCTGGCACACCTACATAAACAGGGTTATCAGTATCGATCCCTCAACTCCTTCTGCTCAGCCAATTCATCAGTGCATGAGAGAATAGATGGCTATACAGTTGGGCAACACCCCATCGTTACAAGATTGATGAAAGGTGTCTTTAATGATAGACCCCCACTGCCTATGGAATGTACAGGCAGTACTGTCATATACAGTGTATATCATCATGGGGCAACAATGACTCACACTCATTAAAAAAGCTGAGTTGGAAAACAAATATGCTACTAGCGTTGACACGCCCCTCTAGGTCAGCTGATCTGTATCTCAGCTAAGTTTCCATGGGAAGCAGTACAAGCCAGAAGGTGTGACTTTCAGACCAAGCAGTCTGGCTAAGCAATCCAGACAAGGGAAACCAATAACCGAGCTTTTCTTCCCTTCCTTCCCACACGACCCTGGACACCCAGTGGTTACACTAAAGGCCTATGAGGACCATACCCATAGGGGAGGTGAACTGAGGTTATTTCTGGCTCTCATCAAGCCATACAAAGCAATTACATCTAGCACCATAACTAGATGGCTTAAATCTCTGCTGGAAGACTCAGTGCATGAAATTAGACACAAAAAGTCTGTGGACAATTTGTCCGAGCACAATCCATTTTGTTCTGCCATTCTCCGCTGTTGATCAGCCATAATAATAAGTTATGGTAATATTAATTCTACATTGCATACAATAGATGAGTTGTGGAGTCAATCTCAGTCAACCTGCATCCAATCATCCAAGTCATCTAGTCTGGGCTCACTGGAGGATGCTTGGAGACCTCTCTTCATTATCTCCACGGACATGCAGCGGACTCCAGCTGAGCTAAGAAGCCACATGCTATTGAGCCTCGCATAGCCACACCCTCACCGCAGACCGCGCATGGGAGTGAGGCTGGGAAAGAAGGCGTAGCTAGCTAGATCATCAGCCTACGCGCTATACGCGCGAAGGCCGGCCCGGCCTGTTTTACGCGGAACCACGCCTTTTTTAATTGCGTGCGTGCGGGCCAACCGTGTAGTCGTCGCCGCGTTCGGACAGTGAAATTGTCACACTAAGGTAGCTAGCTAACCACATGTTTACAATGGAGGGCAGGGCTATTAGGCATCACCACAACTAGTCATCAGTGTGAGCGGTGGGCGTTTACGGAAGCCGTTGCGCTTATGGTCCGTTGCACATGTTCACAATGGAGGGCAGGGCTATTAGGCGTCACACAACTAGTCATCAGGGTGAGCTGTGGGAAGCCGTTGCGCTTATGGTCCGTTTAATAGAGTAGATATGGAGCCCAGACTGTTATGCCTGGCCACAAGACCTGTCCCACTAATATTACGCGAATGCATGCAGGAGAGGGAAAGAAGGGTCTGGTTCAGAGCTATACCGAATTGCGGGCCAAGACAGGAATGTGGTGGACAGGTGTTAGAATGCAATTATAGACGGCAGTAGAGATTTAGGGGGCTGGGTCTTGGGTGGAGTTATCTAACTTGCCACACGTCATTTCTATGCATCTTGTACCATCGTGTATTTTGTTGAGTTCATTTACTTCCATAATATTGTGCACGGTTTTTCTGACTGCCATCAAACCTTAACAAACCCAATCCCAATAAGCTACTATCCTTCAGTACAAGAAACAAATTGAGAAAACTTACCCTTATAAGTATCTTGGTGTTACCATTTCTTCTGATTTGTCTTAGAGTGAGCATATCCACACTATTTGTACTAAAGCCAGGAGGACCGTAGGGTTATTATCGTCAGTTCCACTTGAACTCTGATACCACCAATCTCTTGCAACTCTAGTTCGACCTTTGCTCGAGTATGCTTGCCAAGTTTGGACCCCACATCTAGTGAGAGACATTGCTAAACAAGAGCGACATCCAAAAACTAGCATTGCGCGTACTAAGCAGTGGACACTGAACTACAGCACTCCTTTGTCTCTTTGTGACTTTCAAGATTTGGAAACACGTCGAAATATTTCCGTCTTTCTACCATGTACAAAATTGTAAACCATATAGTAGTCTTTCCCCCAGATATTTTTATTCCACGGGTTACTCCATTTCGTTCTGCTTTTGACTATTTATTATCCTCGGCGAACTTGTGCAGCAAGGGTACGGTAGTTAACCCTCGGCGCGCATGCGCAGCGAGGGTTACTGTAGTTGGGTTTGTCTGTGTGTGTGTCTGTTACTCTACATCTCACCTCTCGAATGTCTGTTCGTTACAGAAACGATACCATCCACCCAACGGGCGACGAAGGTCAGAAAATATGTGGGGTTTTCTCTGAAAATGCTCCGTTGCAGAGCTAGAGCGCTTCCAGCATTGTACGGCTAATGCCGGTAGTCGCCATTTTAATGCTGGCGGATAATGCGCATGCGCTTATATTTAGCACAGTCGACCGGGTCCGCTTGCTCTGTCTTGAAGGTCACAACGAATGGCGTGTATCGACTCTCGCGTGCTATCTACTACTGTAGCTAGCCCGTGTCAGACTCTCTGCGAGCTACTTCGCCGAGGGTTTGCACTTTAGTGCTTTTCATTGGGTCTGTCTGTCTGTGTGTGTGTGTGTGTGTGTGTGTCTGTTACTCTACATCTCACTTCTCGAGTGTTTGTTCGTCTCACAAAGGATATGACCTACTTAACAGGCAATGAATGTCAGAAATTTCGAACGGTTTTCTCTGAAACTGCTCCGTTGCAAAGCTAGAGCACGAAAAAGCCAATATGCAAATACACAACAGACAGGATAGCTTACAACAGTCTGATCGATCCACGCGCTGTGCATACCACGGAGGCACCAGAAGATGCATATTGCCTCTCGCATGCGATCTAGTAGTGTAGATAACCCGCATCAGACTCTGCGCGAGCTGGCAAGAGACCACGAGTAACAGCTAAAACTAAACCCAGCCCATCAATTAGTGGTACGGCGCATACGCATGCATATCACAATGCGCCAAGGGTTTGCACTACAGTGCTTTTCATTTCTTCAGCCTTTTTCTCATACAAATGCCATTCTAAATTCATGTTCCCAGTTCATGCAGCACATGGAATTGTCTACCATTATCTATACACTCGGCTGACTCAATTTCATCATTCAAGACATCATTAATTGATTGGTTATATCAGAATCATAGTTAAATTTAGGTATGTTTTAGCCTAGAGCCATTGTGTCCACAATAATTATATTAAAAAAGGAAAAGAATGAAGAAAGTAGCTACAATTGACCTTTTGGTCATTTGATTAGCCACTGAAGTGGTGCGCCGACGCTAATCAAAGTTCCAGGGCCCGCGTTAGGGTATATATAGGTCTGGTTCCCTCTCGCGCATTCAACTACCACATGCGCGTAATGTTGGTAGGAACGGCCTGGTGACTAGGCCTTGACACATTATGCCAGCATAATTTTTGGAATAATAGGGGTAATAAGCTTATTGGAATTATGCTGGAATAATCAGCAAAAAATTATAGCTCAGTGAGAATAATAGGTTAGAAATTAGCTATGTGTGCGTACGCGCATGCGTGCAGTCCAGGTGGGCATTTGCTAGAACATTGCACGTGACGTGGCATAAGCTACTAGCAGCACGAGTGACATCGGGACCAGTGAAGCTTCAGAGGCTAACGCTTTCCAACTACTTCTGCTAGTGCAGCTGTCTTCCGCAGCGGCCGAGCGAGCATTGTCTCTCTTCTCGAAAACTCCTTCAACCATCCCTCGAGGATTATATTTCTGTGTCTCTGTTATGTTATATACAATACAATAGAAAATGATGTTTTCAACATTTTTTATTTGAGAATAATAGGCTAGCTTCATGAGAATAATGGGCACTGTTTGAGAGCATAAGGAATAGAATAATTGGGGAAATTTTGAGCATAATGTGTCAAGGCAGACAAGGACTGTGCCGGCAATAAATTAATGGACCCTAAGATTGCTTGTAGCCAATTGAGCCAGCTGCTGGACGCCTAGGCCCGGCTATAAAACAACATGCGGGGAATGAAATTCGAGTAACCCCATAACTCTCGTCTTTCAAATAGCACCCGATGTTTCCACCCGGATACTGACTAGAGTCCTAGATTAGATATATACCTGCTTCACAATCCCCCTCGTTGCATGTGATGAGACTGAAGCACCACCGGTCTGCGACATCTTACCCCAAATTACACGTGAACAACTGTTTTCGAAACTTGTGCGCATGCGTCAAAAATTTTAAAATGCACACCTGCGCGGTGTGTATAATATTCCCCGAGAAAAAACCGGGGAAAACTATTATTTGCCGAGCGCGTTAGCGTGAGGCAAGGCAACTACTGCGGGTTGGATATGCGTATATACGTACGTCCGTCGTCAATTAGTCACGCTTAGGAATGTCAATTAGTCACCAAAAGGAAGTGTAACTTCCGTCATTCGTAGGAAGTCTAGCTTCCGCCGTGCGCGCAGATTTCCGGTTCGCGCGCAGTCAGTACAGCGCGCGCACGAGCGGCCTCAGTCGGACTGTTTACGCATTGGCTGGCAGGCCGGCGCGAGGCAAAATATGCGCGTGCGCATTCCTAGTATATAGATCTAAGTGCTGTAGCGGGCTAGAATCGCTCTCCTTCATGCCAGATCAGAATGGCACAGCTATCCGGCAATCTTTACGTCACGTAATTACATTTCACGCGCGCGGAAGAAATATCAAGGTGACGTTCGCCTCAACCACCCCTACAGTCCAATCAGATTGCAGAACGGCGTTGAATGTAATCAGTGTGCGCGGTTACGTCATAGTTTAGTTGTTGCCTGCTGTGAGCGACGCTAAAACGGCGAATGCTTGTGTCGACTCTCACTGCACTGGTGCAAGCCATCGGAAAGACCAGGGTGTACCGCTGGTAACAGAGCTCAGAGCGTTCCTCGGACCCCACCCATATTCGCCACCTCAACGCAACGTTTGCGGAACGCATATGCAACGTAGGGATGTGGTCATACGTGCGCGTAACGCCCGGATCGGAGCCGGACCGCTAGTACTAGGGCATCGAGTTGTCGATGTCCTTGCCCTAGCCCTAGACGAGGTCCGGCTCCGGGCGGTAAGCATCCTAGACGGGGTCCGGCTCCAGGCTCACCTGCTCACCGTTTGGCAATATACAGTACGCATGATGTGCCTTTCCTTTTCCTTACCTAAACAAACAGGGTTTTCCTCATTTTCAATGCCCGTTCCAGCTCATCTTGAAGGTACGTGAAACGGCGACAGGTCCGTGGGCAAAGATATCTGTCTTGCTTCACGAAAGGAAAGCTGTTCGCTGACGGCACGTTATGCAGCCCGAACATCGAGGGCAAATCCCAAGTTAGGTCGCTCCCGCTCGCCAACCTAGTATAATTATTATCTCTACAAAATAATGCAAAACCGTTGATGCCCTCACTTGGGTGGGAAAGCAAAATTTTGGCAAGATAGGTGCAGCGAGATTAGCTACCATTCCTATACTCTAACTGTAGCCAAAGCATGAGGGATAGTTGCCACTGGTAAACTCTCTATGTTTCTTCTATATCCCTATCTCTCCGTCTGTTTTTTTAGACTATGTATGCACCTTTATGACAACAATAATAATAATAAATCGAGAGGTGAAGCAAGAAAAGAGTCAATGAAACTCAATGTGGATACCGATGAATTGTATCACTTTCATCTTTACACAAGTGCCATCTGTTTTCTACTTTTCTATTGTGACCTTTATACCTGAACTGGATGTGGTAATGACACATGCATAAGTGGTGCTGGCAATAAAGAAGCTAAAAAGTGGCAAACCCCCCAGTTATGATGGATTCCAGCGGAAGTGTTTAAATCACTTCCAGAGGTACTTCCCTGCGAACTGGTATTTTCAATCATCAGGAAATTATCCTGAGAGTTGGGCTCATGGACTTATCAAAACGTGAGATAAGGCAGATCCCAAGAATTACAGGGGAATAACTTTGTTGAACAAGATATTCACCGCAATACTCAACACCAGACTAAGTGAATGGGCAGAGACCTATGGCATTCTCCCAGAGGAACAATATGGATTTAGACCTAACTGAAGAAAAACAGATTTCATCTTTATCCTGAATACACTGATAGAGATAACAAAAATTCAACCCTGTTTGTCTGTTATGTAGACCTGAAGAAGGCCTTTGATAATGTTGAACACACTCTAATGTGGGTTAAGCTGCACTCAATTGGCCTGAGCAATCAAATCATTGCTATTCTGCAGTTCGTGTATAGAAAAGCCACAGCCAGAGTGAAGATAAACTCCTCCCAGGCAACAGGTGTGTTCAAGTGGCAAAAAGGCGTCCCGACATGGTAGTAACTTGAGTCCACTATTATGCCTCATCAGTGGACTAGAAGTTGAATAGGCAAAGAATGAGGCAGGTGTATATACCCCTGGGGGGAACAACATTAGATACCCAGATGTTTGCTAACGACATCATTCTCCTCTAATCTAGTGCAGATGGGACTAAATAAGCAAATTGGCAACCTCGAAGAGTTTTGCAGTCAATGGAACCTCAATAAACACTGAAAAATCTAAAATCTGTGCATTTGGGGCAAGAGAACATCACCATTTCAAATGTGAAGGAACATACCTTGAGAATGTAGATACATACAAGTATCTGGGGGTTTGGATACCCAAAAATGGAAAGTTCAATAGGGCTAAAAACCATATCAGCCTACAAGCCAAGAAAGTTGTCTTTGCTCTTAAACGAACTTTTATAACTAGTACCAATCTCTTAACACTTGTTTAATTCTATCATCAAACCACTTCTCTGCTATGGATGTGAAATTTGGGGGTTCGAGAATGACATTGAAATTGAATTACAGTTTATGAAGTACATCCTACATCTACCACAAATGCATCTAATGAAGCATTGCAGGGACAGTTTCCAATCCATCTCTTCTGGAAAGAGTGAGCTACATTTGTATCAACAGCAATCGCTCACAGAACAACTGAACATGTTGGAAAATGGTAAAAACTTTTGGCTCACAAGAACAAAACGACTATACGACACACAGCAGGTTTGTTTAACATGGCCGGCACTGATCATACTACACATCATGTGAATGAAGTCATGAAGCAGCTTAAGTTTATACAAGACTGGTATCGCCAACTCAACTCTCCTGGAAAAACAAATGGTAGCAATAAACTGACAACATACAAATTGTTCAAGGAATCATTCCAGCTCGAGAACTACCTTTTACAAAACAAACATCGAATAGCTCTAACAAAGAGGCTAGTCAGCTGCCACAAGTTGGCAATTGAAACGGGTCGATACCACAAACCTGCAGCCCTCCCTGTTTGTCCGTAATGCCGATCTAAGAAGCAAATTGTTCATGTACATGACAGGGGTTTATCCCCATTTGAGTCACTTAATTCAACTGAGAAACTAGTTTTTCAAAGAGAAGCACCTAATCAGCTAATTTGCTGGTCTGCCTGTATAGATGGTTTAACAAGTATTTACCATTCCATACTCCAACTTTAGTCAAAGCATTAGGATAGTTGGGTTGTTTCTTTTTCCGTTCATGTGCCCACAAGAAATGCTAAATCGTTGAAACACTTTTATAAGGGAGATAGCCAAATTTGGGTGTGACAGGGATACTCCAACTTTAGTCAAAGCATTAAGAATGGTCATTTTCCGTTCACATGCCTACAAAAAATGTGAAATCGCTGACAAACTTATATAGGGGGGACAGCCAAATTTGGGTGTGATAGGTATGCGTGCAGCGAGATAGAAGACATTACCATTCCATACTACAACTTTAGTCAGAGCATTAAGGATAGTTGGGCTATCTCTTTTTCCGCTCATGTGCCCACAAAAAATTGTTGACACCATTACATAGAGGAGACAGCCAAATTTGGGCGAGATAGGCTCGGTCCAGAGGGATAGAAGACAATAGCTTTAGTGAAAGCATTAAGGATAGTTGGTTCGTCTTTTTTCTTTGCGCAAAGATGCGACAATAATGAAACACTTACATAGGGGAGACAGCCAAATTTAGGCGTGATAGCGATAGGTGCAGCGAGATAGAAAACATTACCATTCCATACAAGTCAAACTATTAAGGATAGTTCGTTTGTTTCATTTTCCTTTCATATGCCTAAAAAAATGCGAGATCGTTGACACCAATCTATTGAATTGGGCATTGGTTTCGCTCACTCAAACATTTATTAAAGATTGGGGATAGTGGGGGTTTCTCTTTACGTTCATGTATACCACAATAAAAACTTTGCAAATGTTGATACTATCATTTGGGAGACAGCAAAATTTGGACGAGATAGGCGTCGATGTAGAGAGATAGCATTCCATACTCCAACTTTAGTCATAGTATTAAGGATAGTTATGCTGTCTCTTTTTCCCACAGAAAATGCCAAATCGTTGACACCCTCATCTGGGGGGACAACAAAATATAGCCGAGAAAGGGGGAGAAAGCGGATTAGTGCAGCAAGATAAGATAGGAAGACATTTACCATTACAAAATCCAAACCGAAAGATAGTTGGTTAATTATTTTTTTTGTATTTTTTTCATGTGCCTACAAAAAAATGCGAAATCATAGACAATATAATTTGGGGGACATAGACACTTAATACTTTGGGCGAGATAGGCATTGGTGCAGCGAGATAGCATTCCATACTCCAACTTCAGTCAAAGCATTAAGGATAGTTGGGCTGTTCCTCTGTGCATTAAAAAATTTTGAAATCGTTGACACCATCATTTGGGGGACAGAAAAATTTGGGTTAGAGAGGCATTGGCACAGAGAGATTTTGGCGTGATAGGGATACGTGTAGCGAGATAGATAACATTACCATTCCATACTCCAACTTTAGTCAAGGATAGTTGCGCTGTCTCTTTTTCCGCTCATGTGTCCACAAATCGTTGATATAGGGGAGACAGCCAAATTTGGGCGTAATAGGGATAGGTGCAGTGATATAGAAGACATTACGATTCCATACTCCAACTTTAGCCAAAGCATTAAGATAGTTGGTTCGTTTCATTTTCCGTTCATGTGTCTACAAAAAATGCAAAATCGTTAACACCATCATTTGGGGGACAGCAAAATTTGGGCGTGTTGTTGTGATTTTCCATATTGGCTATTGAATACATTATGTATACAAACTTTCATTCACACAGCTCCTACTAATTGTGAGTTACACTGACACATCCATTAAAATTCCATAACAATGTATTGCCTGGGGCACTTTTATAGTAAAAACCATCGTTTACAAACAAAAAAGTATGAAATTGCACATGTGGTTATCGATATCCACATTCCTACAAATTTTTTAGCTTTAGCTCTTTCGGTTTTTGAGTTATGCTGGCTGTACAGGAAGAAGAAGAAGAAGAAGATGATTAACAAAGCTCCATATCATAGCCCCATACATCTATGATGCTAGGTACCATGCCCATTGCTATATACTAAGTACTGCTTTGGCGAGATAGGGATACGTGCTTTAAGATAGAAGACATCACCATTCCATACTGCAGCTTTAGTCAAACCAGAAAGGATAGTTGGTTGGTTTCATTTTGCTTTCATGTGCCAAAAAAAAGCGAAATCGTTGACACCCTTATAATAGCCAAATGTGGGTGTGATAGGGATAAGCAAAGCGAGATAGAAGACAACTAACATTCCATTCTACAACATTAGTCAAAGCATTAAGGATAGTTAGCTCGTCTCATTTGTGCCCACAAAAAATGCGAAATCCGTTGACACCCTTATATAGGGGAGCCAGCCAAATTTGGGTGTGATAGGGATAAGTACAGCGAGATAGAAGATATTACCATTCCATTCTCAAACATTAGTCAAAGCATTAAGGATAGTTGACTCGTCTCATTTTCCGTTCATGTGCCTACAAACGTTGACACCTTATAGAGGGGGGACAGCAAAATTTGGGCAAGATGGCAGCATGGTAGATGACATTTCCATTCCATACCACAAGTTTTTTCAAAGCATTAAGTATAGTTGGCTTGTCTCATTTTCCATTAATGTGCCAACAAAAAATTCGACATCGTTGATATCCTTATATAAGAGAGACAGCCAAATTTGGGTGTGATAGTGATAAGTACAGAGACATTAGCTAAACGTGTTTGGCTCGTCTCATTTTCCGTTCATGTGCAAACGAAAAATGCGTATAGGGTAGACAGCCAAATTTGGGCGTAATAGGTATAAGTGCAGCGAGATAGAGGACATACCCATTCCATACTAAAAAACTTTAATTAAGAATTAAGGATAGTTGGTTCGTTTCATTTTCCGTTCATGTGCCTACAAAAAATGCAAAATTGTTGACACTATCATTTCATTTGGGCGAAATCGCCATTAGCGCAGCGAGATAGAAGACATTACCATTCCATACTTCAACTTTAGTCACAGCATTAAGTATAGTTGGGTTGTCTCTTTTTCCAGCTCATGTGCCAACAAAAAATGCGAAATCGTTGACTCACTTGTATAGCCAAATTTTGGCGTCATAGGGATACTTGCAGCGAGAAAGAAGCCATTACCATTCCATACAGCAACTTTATTCAAACTATTAAGGATACATTGGTGCAGCGAGATAGAAGACATTACCATCCCATACACCAACTTTCAGCAAAGCATTAAGGGTGGTTGGCTCGTCTCATTTTCCGTTTATGTGTCTACAAAAAATGCGAAATCATTGACACCATCATTGTAAATCGTAGAAGCACTTAGGGGAGACAGCCAATTTTGGGCATGATAGGGCTATATAGGTGCAGCGAGATAGAAGACATTATCGTTCCATACTTCGACTTTAGTCAAAGCATTAAGGATAGTTGGCTTGTCTCATTATACATTCATGTGCATACAAAAATGTGAAATCGTTGACACCCGGATAGGGGGGACAGCAATATTTGGGCAAGATGGGGATAGGTGCAGGAAGACATTTCCATTCAATACGGCAACTTTACTCAAAGCTTTAAGGATTGTTGGCTCGTCTCATTTTTCGTTCATGTTCACACAAAAAATCTTGCCCAAGCTTTGCTGTCTCCCATATAAGGGTGTAAAACATGTTAAATCGTTGACACCATCATTTGGGGGCACAGAAAAATTTGGGAGAAATAGGCATTGGTTGAATAGGGATACGTGCAGCAAGATAGAACACTATACCATTCCATAGAGTCAGAGCAGGGGAGACAGCCAAACGTGGGTGTGATAGGGATAAGTACAGCGAGATAGAAGACAATACCATTCCATATCTAAAGCATAAAGGATAGTTGGCACGTCACATTTTACGTTAATGTGCGTACAAAAATTGCGAAACCGTTTACATCATCATTAAGGGGAGAGCAAAATTTGGGTGGGATAGGCATTGATGCAGCGAGATAAAAGACATTAACCATTCCATACTTGAACTTTAGTAAAAACATTCAGGATAGTTGACTTATCTCTTTCCAGTTTTATGTGCCTAAAGAAATTGAGACATCCATCATTTTGGGGACAGCAAAATTTGGGTGGGATAGGCATTGGTGCAGCGAGATAAATGACATTACCATTCCATACTTCAACTTTAGTCACAGCATTAAGTATAGTTGGGTTGTCTCTTTTGTCTGGTCATGTGCCAACAAATATTCGAAATCGTTGACACACTTTCACAGCCAAATTTTGGCGTGATAGGTATACGTGCAGCAAGATAGAAGACATTACCATTCCATACTGCGACATTAGTCAAACTATTAAGGATAGTTGGTTTGTTTCATTTTCCTTTCATGTGATTACAAAAAATGCTAAATCCTTGAAACCCTCACGGCAGCCACATTTGGGTGTGATAGGGATAAGAACAGCGAGATAGAAGACAACCATTCCATTCTCCAACTATAGTTAAAACATAAAGGATAGTTAGCTCGTCTCATTTTATGTTCATGTGTCTACAAAAGATGTAAAATCGTTGACATCGTCATGGGGACAGCAAAATGTGGGTGGGATAGGCATTGGTGCAGCGAGATAGAAGACATTACCATCGCATACTCCAACTTTCGGCAAAAGCATTAAAGGTAATTGGCTCGTCTCATTTTCCGTTTATGTGTCTACAAAAAATGCGAAATCATTGACACCATCATTAAAATGTCTTACTGCAACTTTTGTCAAAGTATTATGGACAGTTGGGTTGTCTCTTTTTCCATTCATGTGCCCACAAAAAAAGCGAAATCGTTGAAGCACTTAGGGGAGACAGCCAACTTTGGGCTATATAGGTGCAGCGAGATAGAAGACATTATCGTTCCATACTTCAACTTTAGTCAAAGCATTAAGGATAGTTGGCTTGTCTCATTTTACGTTCATGTGCCTACAAAAAATGTGAAATCGTTGACACCCTTACATAGGGGGGACAGCAATATTTGGGCAAGATGGGGATAGGTATTCAATACTGCAACTTTACTCAAAGCTTTAAGGATTGTTGGCTCGTCTCAATTATCGTTCATGTTCACACAAAAAATCTTGCCAAAACTTTGCTGTGTCCCCTATAATTATAAGGGTGTGAAATCGTTGACACCATCATTAATGGGGGGGACAGCAAAATTTGGGCCAGATAGGCATTGGTTGAATCAGAAAGATAAATGCGAAATCGTTGACACCCTTATATAGGGGGGAGAGCAAAATTTGGGGACACGTGCAGCATGATAGAAGACATTTCCATTCAATACGGCAACTTTGAGTAAGTTTTAAGGATTGTTGGCTTGTCTCATTTTTCGTTCATGTTCACACAAAAAATCTTGCCCAAACTTTGTGTCTCCCCTATATAAGGGTGTAAAAAAATGTGAAATCGTTGACACTATCATTTGGGGGAACAGCAAAATTTGGGCGAGATAGGCATTGGTTTAATAGGGATACATGCAGAAAGATATAACTCATCACCATTCCATACAGTCAAAGCATTAAGGATAGTTGGCTAGTCTCATTTTCCGCTCATGAAAAGACAAAAATGCGAAATCGTTGACACCATTATATAGGGGAGAGAGCCAAATTTGGGCGTGATAGGGATAAGTATAGTGAGATAGAAGACAATACCATTCCATTCTCCAACTATAGTTAGCTCGTCTCATTTTCCTTTCTTGTGCTCAAAAAAGCGAAATCGTTGACACCTTGAGACAGCCAAATCTGGGTGTGATAGGGATAGGTATAGCAAAATAGAAGACATTACCATTCCATACTGCAAGTTTAGTCAAAGCATTAAGGATAGTTGGTTCGTTTCATTTT